AGGTATTCAAAAGTTGGTCCCACGGTATGACCAATGTCTCAATTCCGGTGGCGAATATGTTGAAAAATAGCTGGACACTTGCTGTATCTGTTGCAATAAATATTTCCATGAAATTGTGTTTTGTTTCTGTAAACGGCCCCAGGGAAACTTACTTTTGGGACGCGCCTCGTACTTACATCTAATACAAATTAATTAATTTACGTGTTTGAGTTTAAAGTTTTAATTTCTTAAATTACTAAGAAGTTCTACTTTCGTTTTACTTTCTTTCCTTATACCCAAGGTGAGAAGAAGGGCAAAGATTACAAAGCTTAGAATAGTCAATGTGTTGCAATATGCTGCTTTTTGAGACCTTGGTCATGTACAGTAATCAACATTGTTTTCTACTAATAAGCCAACATCACAGAGCAGAGTTCTTGAGAAGCAGGTAATCACTCAGATAGTCACGAAATTCCCCACCTCTTATGGAACCCAAAGATTAATTACCATGTTCACAAGATCATGCCATCTGCCCCTGTCCTGAGCCAGATAAAACATATTTTCGTTAAACCTGTGATGCTAGAGCTTAATATTTAAACATTTAGTCTACCTGAAAGAAAACACAACCCATAACCACTACAAGGAACAGGTGGTTATTGCTGCTTTTGGAGATACTAGCTGGTTGCTGCAGGAATAGTTTGAAACTGGTGAATACATTGTGGGAAAAATGATTATTTTCTTTTGAAACCAAACTGTTCTGAGAACAATTTTTAATTGATACTCATTTGATAGCTTTGCCTGTAATACATAACCTTGTCAAGTGCTTTAGAAACACAGTTAATACTGAAGTGGTTTGCTAATTATTCACACTACTATTGTGTCCTTATTTCATGTTACTTGGCAAAAATAATAATTTTCAATGTATGCATTTACTGCCAAGTATAAGGACAGGGATGTTTCTTTATGACAGATGCTCAAAAGGTGTTCCTCCATTCTCAACACATGCACGAGCACGACGTACACAAGACTGACGAATATGTTTGTACACACCAGGGTTTCCTCGAATCGTCTGGCATGCATTCCGCACACGTTCCCATAGGTCGTCTTCATTTTTTATGGGTATTGCATAATCAACGGACTTCAAGTAACCCCACAGATAAATGTCCAATGGAGTCAGGTCCGGTGACCTCGGTGGCCATGCTACTGGGCCACCACATCCAATCCATCGCTGAGGGTACTGTTCATTGAGATGATATCTGAAATGATGGGAGAAGTGTGCTGGGGTTCTGTCGTCCATAAACCACATTTGTCTTCTTGTATTCAGTGGTACATCTTCAAGCAGACGTGCCAAGTGTCTTCTTAAGAATCACCGATATGAAGGTCCTCTTAGACACGATGGAAGCATGTGTGGACCAATAAGCATGTCTCCAACAATTCCTGCCCAAACATTAATTGAATGTCTTTGCTGGATGCAGGATTCACCTTGATATAAAGCCAATTCATTGAAACTTATTTTTGGCTATTATTTTGAAAATGAAACATTTGCGACCCCATGTTCATAGGAACATTTTTCCTTATTTTTGATCCTGGAACACGCACACGAATTTTGTAAACATACTTATGACTCATCCTGTATATTATGTATGAGGCTTTTTGTTCTGAATTTCTTCCTTATTAAATTCATAGTTCTGTTAAAAAATAGGAGACTTCTCTTAATGAAGGCAGTAGCATGTAATGTCAGCAATTTTTACCACTCCAGAATTAATTGTAAAGTGTTACCTCATCATAAACAGACTTTTTTGTCATATGTTTATAGAGATTTTTTTTTTCCACCAGCTGCTAGTCTGGTTGATATTACCCTCTGTCTAGTGTATGGGTGCGAAACATGGTCTCTCACTCTGAGGGAGGAATAGAGATTGCAGGTGTTTGAGAACAGGGTGTTGAAGAGGATATTTGGGCCTAGGAGAGAAGATGATGAGCTTAAAAATTTGTACTTCTCCCCCAATATTGTCAGGGTGATTAAAGTCAAGATAAATGAGATGGGCGGGGCATGTGGCACGCATGGATGGGGCATGCACCAGATATTGGTCAGGGAGCCTGAGGGGAGGAGACCACTGGGGAGACCTAGACATAGATGGGAGGATAATCTCAGGTGGGATCTATGGAAGATAGTAGTTGAAGGAGACTGGATTTTGCTGGCCCAAGACAGGGTCCAGTGGAGGGCTTTGGTTAATTCGGTAATGAACCTTCGAGTTCTGTAAGCCATATAGTTGGTTAGTTAGCATCTGCTGTCTAGAGAGTAAATGGTATGCTAACATAAGCTAATCAATATAATACAAGGAGAAGGGAAATGTAATGGAGTGCAGAAAATAATCAGTGAATGTTCAGTGGGTAAACTTGCCATTGTAAAATAGGTGAAAAATTTTATGGAACATACCAAACTGTAGCATAGGCACACAAAACCAGTATTTGTAAGTAATATATTTTCCATAAATGTACAAACTGTTGAACAAAATGTAGGAAGACTGGCTTATCATCAGCAGTTGTTAATCATTGAGGAAGTTGACAGCAAATGTACATGTAAATATCATTGTAAAATGTAAAAATGTTGAATATAATATCAAGGATTACAAGGTCTAAATGAAGGGAAGACAGCATGGAGAGGAAGTGATTTTAATTCTTATGCAGCGAAGCCTGGGGGCAGAAGATTCAGCAACAACCAAACTGCATCATAAATGAGCCACATGCATGGAAGGATCCAATATAAGGATTGTTAAAGACCCATGTAAAGAAACATTTTATCCTGATGGACTGCTGAAACCTAGGGACTGATGGACTGTGAGAGGAGAGACGCTGAAGAGAAGAATATATCTAATACTGCACAGTTGTTTTGTCACAACACATAACAAAATGTCCTCATTTATTTTAGTGGATTGAGAAGAGAACTGGATTCCAAGGACTGGTCACATGTGACAGTGAGAGGTGTAGGAAAATTCTCTATTCCACCTAGTTCAGTGAGAGGGAAAGCGTTAATAAAAGAATTATGTAGTTCATCTTCATGAGCAGGTGGAAGAAGCCATTGTACACACGTGTACATGATCAGCTGCTTACTGTCGTGGCTCACGCATTTCCACCGATGGCCAGCAAGGCAGCTCATTAAGTTGTGTTGTGCTTGTGAACACCCAGTTGTGCCACTGAGTGAGCACAATGCAAAGTGGCACTTCTTCTTTCTCAATGACTCTTCAGCACAACAAATATCGTAACGTTCTGCATTACTGTTATTATCGTGAAAGAAGGCAACTGCCTGTCTGGAAATGCATCCGATAGAAACCTGATATTACAGCCCATAAATAACGTGGAGAAATGGACAATAATAATCTAGTGTGTGAGAGAACCAAAGTTCTCTTAGATGAGTATATTCCAGTGTCATTTTGCCCACCATAAATCTTACATGGACTGCGTTGGGTTTCAACCCGGGCCCCCACATTGAGAATTCAGCAATTAACCACACGAGCTGTGGACTTTGTCTAAGGTCAGTTGATGAATACAGCCTGCCATGATAGATTTATACTTTTGGGAATAAATTCAAGGTTGCAAATATGACCTAAGTGTATCTTTAATCTTAATCTGTAAATGTAATACTTAACGTCACATAATTTTGTTCATTCATATATATTACTGTGACAGACAAGCAAAATTACACTTGCCAACATATAATCCATTTCATAATAATATTTTCTGGTAGACCCTAAAACTGGTTAAATATGGTTGAAGCTTGTAGCCATTTATCTTCTAAATAACTTGTTATTTTCCTGTCAATTTTTCAAGCACAAGTAATAAAATATCACTGATTGTGTCTGGCAAAAATAAAAAGCACCATTCCCTAACTTTATAATTTGCAATGCATATATCAGATACAAACTTAAAAACTAATGGAGGTTGTTATCACTGTGTTTGGGCACTGCTTGTGGATTTCGACCAGAGGAGATAACACAAATGAGAAACTCTGTAATACATATTACAGAAGTCACATCAAAGCAGGCAAATTAATATGTACTGAAATGTCCTTACTGCAATGTTTATAAGACAAGACAAATGTTATGTCTCTGAAAACATGATGATAAAATTGTACCTTCACTGTAAAACAAAGACCACGCTCATGGAAATTAAACAACCCTCTCTGTTGTGTCTGACTCTGAATGTTCAATACAGCCTATCTCAGTGTCCATCATCAGACCTCACTCACCTCAGTGTAATCCACATTATCAACATAAATTTATTAACGTATAATTGCAGGTCCTCACAGCAATGAATATGGAGATGTGTTTCTTGTGGGCTGTAATGCCATCATGTGGTGGAAGTTTACCCACATTTCAGAGGTGCTTGCTGCCTCCATCATAATCTCCCTGATGATGGAGGTAGCAATCACCTCTGAAGCATCTGTAATCTTCTACCATATGACAGCATCACAACCCACAAGACAGCTACCTTCTTAAAAGGTATGTGTAAACATTTTCAACATGTTTAGTGGACCGTCACCTGTGGAATCAGACGACAGTCAGATATAATGGAGGGCACATAGGGTGCTAGAAGCGCCTCACTGGAAAAGTTCTAGTACATTACCAAATGTTACACGTGGCTGAAGTCTGGACTAGCTGAGTAAATTCTCAGCTTCTAGAAAAGATTGTACTTCAAGATGTTAACAACCCATTATTTTACTGATATCAGTCTACAGTTCACAATCATGACCACTATTTTGCTAACACCTGCCATTTATATGCATGAACCAAGTTAATAAATAAGGCAGTGTGAATGCTGAATCTCACTTTGTGCACCATACCAGAGTTACAGTGCACAAATATCAGCCAAGGCCTAATTAGAACAGCAACATTTATATTATTATGTAACTTGAAGGCAACATGGCCCTCAGGTTCAGTACCTTTTCTAAAAGTAATAGAATGTCAAAAATTAAACTGCATTCTCATGCAACACAAATTAAAATACTGCAAAATACTTGTGCTGACCTTGAAAGTGTCACCAGTCTTGTGAGACTGAGTGCCTGGTAACTGAGGGTGAGCATCCACACCAAACTGGTCTTCATCATCATCGAAAATGTTGTCATTGAGAAGCAGGAAGTACGGCAGAAGTACTGTCTTTGCCCTGATGTCATCCCACATGGTGTCCCGTAGAACAAATCACAAACTTTAATGGTACAGAACAGTGTGCTTAATGCAGACTGAAGCCTGGCAAAGCAGACACGAGAACGCCTCAGTTTAAATCACCTTTCAACTGTCAAGAGAGTACGTACAAGGATCATGAAATGAAGTCTCCTTTGTAAATATAAACTGTGCTCTTTGTAAGTGTTTTACAATGTCACATTTACTGGGATGGAAGTTTCAAGTTGTCCGGTCATGTACTGAGAGGTTTCTTCTGAAATTATTATCTCCCAGCAAGTTTTGCAGTGACTTCCTAAGCCTGTTAATGTAATTCTACTGTGTAACTACTGGCACTGTTTCCAGATTTATTGCACACGAGATGTTTCATTAGAAGGATCCATTCCCAGAGGGGCATAGAGCCTGGGTAAAGCAGTCTATGTGGGTCCATTCCATAAGATCAGTATCTGTAAATTTAACTTAAACTGTACATGATTACAATTAAACTATTACGCCCTGTGTTTACTTTGTATCTACAGAGTGCTTAATTTGTTCAGCATGAAATATATCATGCTTCATGTCAAAATGTGGGGTTCTGAATACTCACCCCACCATACAGATAGCCCACTGCTGGGAATGTAAACCGCGATTTTTATGTACTTACTTTAGTTCAAAGAAATAATATCTAGAAGCATTACTAAAAGCCTTAAAACTGGGCACTGGGTTTTGTTATTAACACAGTAAGGTCCCAATTATCTGACATTACATTTTATCAAAGTGCCATCTCAGAATGCTTCATTTCATTAGCTGCCAACTCAGTATATAGCAGAATGAATCACACTTCCTGACCAAGTCCCTTCTATATTTTGTAAAATCAGTTTCTTCAGAGAGCCTTCATAATATGGCGTTAGCAGTGCTACTCTCATCTTTCTCTTCAGTCTTCTGGATTATTTGTCATTTTTAATTATCTGATCATCCTTACATCCTGTTTAGATTTGATAATCAGGACTCTAATGTAATTGATCCATGAACAAGGCAGTTTAGAACTGAAACATCTATATTTTATGGTAACACTTGTTGGAAAAAAACTTAGTGTTGAATGGACGCCTCTTCATTTTCCTCGGCAATCATTCTTCCCTCACCTGAACGTAATTTGGTGTCACCCACTACGAGATTTACCACTCCTGGTACGAAGTTTTCAAGCACAACTACATCTGTTTTCAGAATTAGACTGCAAAATAAGTTTTAATTAATTTCTCTCCCATTAGAAAGATACATCTCAAATTACATTCCAAAGAAGGTTTGTCATTTTTGTCCCTTTCATGATAAATGGCTATTTTAATTCAAGGCTCCACAGAAGCAAATATTGTTCTCCTACAATAAAATCTTAGTGTTTTTCGGTTTTGGAACCATTTCCTTCCCTGTCCCTCACATTGTTTATTCCCTATATATTTCCTGTTGGCCATCAGGTAGTTTTCCGCCTGCATTTTGTTTTATTTCTTAAAGTAAACTCTCCACATGTAAATGCACCTACTTCACTGACATTAAAACAGACAACATTATTAACTGGGTCTTTGTTAGGGGCAAACTAACATGTTTCAACTTCATTTGAAAAAAATAATTATGAGCAGTGCCCCATTAAATGGACAGATTTGTTACAAGAAAACTCAACAGTGAAAAGTACAAAAATAATATTAACCAAAAACCCAGCTTGAGTGGGGCCAAGCCAAGTAATATTTTTAAAAATAAGTGTAATTTAGCTACATGGATCGGTTAATCAGGGAAGCCATCGAGATCGAACTACATCCCGATAACTTTAACAGGGAAGATGGACTTCACCTGAGCCGGTCCTGGAAGCCTCTTATTCACACACTTCGAGGACTCCGAGAGCGAGCAAGAGTGCGCCTCCAGAACCAACCAGACCACTAACATGGCCCTGATCCATACAATCAAACTCACCTTTCTCTCTCTACTTTCTCTCCCTCTCCCACTCTCGCCCACGTGCTACCATTTGCTCGGGGCAGGCTACACCTTTCACTTTCCGGCCTATAAACCCAGCACCTCACACCCTATTGGCATATTCATCGCCCTGATGACAGAGGCAGTATGACCTCTGAAACGTTGGTTAACATCGACAAGACTACACAGCGCAATAACCCAGAAGACGGATATCTTCGTAATTTTAGTTCTCTTCTAATTCTAGTGGACTCAGGGCCAGACTTTAATAAGCCAAGTAAGCTGCAGAATAGTGACGCACAATATGAGGGGCATCAAAAAATTCATTTCAAGATTTATTGCATTGACTTACTACTTTATGTGACAACCTGGAATTCTTTTAATGTTCATTGCAGCTGTCTGAATGATTTCATTTCTAGCAATTAAAAGAATATAAATTAATTAAATAATATTATTATGGATTTAAACAGAGCAATTTTAATTGGGTAAATTCCTTTTTCCTTCTTCTGGATCAGCCATAACAATGGGGGAGGGGGGGGGGGTTGTGTTTTAAATAATGTACTCATCTTTGACCTTTCCAGCACTGATGCCCTTAAATCTTATGAATGTGTAATATGTTTTATTAATTTGTCTTTAACTGTGTACCTGTTCTGCAATCCGCTTAGTTTCTAATGTTATGCCCATAGTAATAGCTATGTACTTTTCTGACTGAACTAACATACAAAAACATTTAAAAGCTGAGAGCTATGGCTGCTAATTGTATCAGTTCCTTACAACAGTTTTATTATAAATTTCTAACATTGACCACAATACAAATGATTATATGAAGACATTATTATTAGAGTTTCAGTGTAACTGCCATTTATGTTACATTCTTGACCGGTGATAAATACTTAAAACATACAAAGAATCAGCCATGGAGAACAATGTTAAAAGAAAAGCTTTCCCAGTTAAGCATAATGTGACAATCTTTGTAGCTTATATTTTGAAGATTTCAATGACTTCTATTCAAAAATCACGACAAAAACTTTAATATTTCAATTAATCTGTTATGCTGTTATGCAGATCTATTACAGCCTTTTCCAGTCATAGCTATCATTAAGAAGAAACCTTTTGCAATATAAGTTTTTCTGGTTCGTGTTTCTTTCGTTGAAAGAAACCAACGTTTAAGGGTCCCTGATTGCCCTGAAGATGGAAGTGGCAAGTAGAGTAGAGTAGAGTAGAGTTTATTTACATTTCATAGATCCTTCTTAGGACTCAACCAAAGGATGTAGAACATGTCATTTCATACAATATACATACACTTCAGAACTTGAAGATTTCCGTCTTCTGGGTTATTGCGCTGTGTAGTCTGGTCGATGTTAACCAACGTTTCAGAGGTCATACTGCCTCCGTCATCAGTACAAGAACGTATTTCACATATCAATGTAATAAATTTCAGATTCTGCAATACAGGTATGAAAAATAATTTGACAAATTAATATACATAAACCTCAGAATTTTAAATATAAATATAAAACTTCCTTTACATATACGTATATTATGGATATAAAGCTTAAACATTTTCAGCAGAGATGAAATCATCTACAGAATAGAAGGAGTGAGTAAAGAGGTAATCTTCCAATGCAGGTTTGAATACCTTTATATCATAATTTAGACTTTTAACTGTTGATGGAAGATTATTAAATAACTTGATACCTGTATAGTACACTCCTTTTTGATATTTAGTAAAGTTAGCATTTGGCACATAGAGATCATGTTTACGTCTTGTACTTAAATTATGTACATCTGTATTTCTTTTAAATTTATCCATGTTTTCCACCACAAATGATAGCAAGCAGAGTATAAATTCACTTCCAAGTGAAAGTATATTAAATTTACGAAATAATTTTCTACAAGATACCCTGCTTTTGACATCGGCCATTATTCTAATTATTTTCTTTTGAATGTAAAAAACTTTATTACTGTCTGTTGAATTTCCCCAAAAGATTAATCCATATGAAAGAGTGAAAGTAAGCAAAGTAAACTAGCTTTAAAGTATCTATTGTCATGAGTGGTACGACTATTCTCATGGCAAAGCATGCAGAGCTTAATTTGGGAATAATATACTCAATGTGTTTCTTCCAATTTAAGGTATTGTCAACTTGTAAGCCAAGGAATTTGTTTGTTTCAACTTCCACAATTAATTTTTCTTCAAAACCTATATTTAACCTAGGATATGTACCTCTGAAACGTCGGTAAACTTATACCAGACTACACGGCGCATCAACCCAGAAGAGATCAGTCTTTAACATAAACCCGAAATTCCGTACAAAGCACTGAAATATACTGTAACAGACAATTTGATCATTCCAACCAAGTATTCATTGAGTGACTGGTATGACAGCGCACAGATTCAACACAACCGTCCAAATTAACCTCTAGAACAATTTACTGCATTCACAGGTATATATTTCAAAGCACAAAAATTAATCCAGCACCTATTGCTTTCTGTGGACGAAAAGGGCCTAAAAGAGATTTTTAACCACAGATAAAAGCAGTAAGTAACTGTTAATGTTTCTTAAAGCTGCAAATAGATGTCGCGAGAATTCTTGTCATATGTATTTTTTTTTTCAGTCACGTGAGAACAGCCATTGTTGATCATTAATGTCGTGTGGTGTTTTTATCCTGGTGTAGTTCTAATTTAAAAATTTAAGATGGGTTGTGATGGAGGTACCATACCGAAAAGAAACGAACTTGTCGCTGTAAAAAAGAAGCCAGTGCAAGTAAGTGTATTTGATTTAAGATCTGAAGCTTTCATGGCGACTAAATATAATGAATTCTTCACGGGCCTCCAGCTGATAATGGAAGTTTAATGAAGAAAATTTTTGTACTTGATTTGCTCCTTTTTCACGTTGTGTTATTTGGTATTTTTGCTTTACATTCGCAGGAGAAAGACGAGAAAAACGCTTGGTTCTGGAGTACCTGCAGCCTCACACAACTTCCATTTGAACCACCAGTAGCATCGTGCTTCTTGGGCAAATTTTATAACAAATGTGCTGTGATTGATGCCCTGTTGAACAAGAGTCCTGTGCTCCCACAGCACATCAAAAGGTTGAAGGTAAATATTATAAACATTGAACTAAAAATAGGTAATATAAGCCGGATTATGATGAAATATCATTCCATTAATGCACATAAATATAGTTATGAGCAAAATTTCTTCACTTAATTAGGTTAAAAATTGTGTTCAAAATTCCTCTTTTAATAGAAAAGAATTAAACATTTAGGAAAATGGTTTGAGCTATATTGTAACAGACAGGAACTTCAGAATTCTTAAATAATTCAAAACAAAGAAGAATATAAAAAAATTCAGTTAGGACTTATATCAATTTCTGATATAATATTATATCCAGAATTTGGTGTTTGGAAAGAGGTAATAGTTCTTATCAGAAGTGAACAGAATCATTAAATAAATACTATACAGTATTTTGTTCATTAGTCAGTTAATTATTTCCTGTAGCTGGTATTTATAAAGCAAATATGTCACATGGCTTAGTCAATAGTTATTCTACATTTTTAGCCATATGGACATGTAATTCAACTGATGATATTTATAGCTGGTGTGTAATACAGTGAGAGTGTAATTGAACCTCTTTAACACTGCTGAAGTGATGGTATATATCATGAAGCTTCATGTAAAATTTGTGTTAAGATCTTTGCAATATGGTGATAACAGCTACCCATTTCTGAATTTTAAGTTTTTTTGAGTTCCTAAACTCAACAAAAATATTATAACCTGTTCAGACCCCATGACTCAGTTTTATCACTATTTCAACTTAATTAAGTACCTGATTACCATACTTAGTCATATATATTTTTTCTTAATGTATTGTTTATTGTTTATGTAGATTCTATGTATTATGGGAAGAAATTTATTTGTAATTAATAACAGAGAAATTTCCCCTGCAGGATATTAAAGATCTGCAGCTTACACCAAATCCAGCATTTAAGCCATCAGCGGAGAAGGGTGATGTGTATGCTGATTGCCATTTAGCACCATACATCTGCCCAGTGGTTGGAATTGAGATGAATGGGAAGTTTCGATTTGTGTTCCTCTGGGGATGTGGTTGTGTCATGTCAGAAAGAGCTCTCAAAGAAGTGAAGAGTAAGCTGTGCCTCAAGGTAAGGAACTACTGAAATTGCTATTAAGATAATGAAACAAAAATAAAAGGAAGAATGCTTTAGATAACCCACTTTAACTTGGTTATTAGACAATCAGGCCTATCTATCTTTCTTTTCACAAATGTGTTTTTTTCTCATGATTTCCTAACATGGCTACATGTGCAGCTACATACTTCTAGCAGAACATGATATAGGTGTTAATATAATGTCTTTATTCTTGGTTAATGTTCATGTTAACATTTCTTGTGGTCTCATATGACTGCTGCGTTTTTGCTTCTAATGTTCTGACGTTTGTTTCGTTGCTGTTCCTCTTACACTTAAAGTGCCTGTTTTTAATTATTCTGGTCTGCTTAATTGTTCATTCCTTTCTGTCATTGCTTTGTTTGTCAACCTAATAAACATCCAGCTGTTTCCTTTGGGATAATTAAACAAACAATTTATTTCCTGAAGACAAGTAACTGGCCTGTCATTTAGTATTTTGTCTCCTTGGAGCCTTTAGACTTCTCATTTCTTTGTCCTGAGTGAGATGGTTGTCTCTTTCACTTGCCTTAGCACACAGGTTTAATTATAAGTAGATCCTGTCTGCTTCATAACTGTTGAAGTGTTCGTGCATAACCCTATGAAAAGGAGTCTCATTTTACCCCATGGTACCAGATGTGTGACATCTTGGCCAGTTACTGGGTCTACCTGCTACATCAGACCCAGAGGAATTCAGTCTTATGTTGAATGTCTGCAGGGCATATCTGGGGGAATGAAGTAATAAACATAAATAATAATTCATGACAAAGGTAAGAGTAGAATGAACCATAAGATACTGAAACTTGTATTCAATTTTTGAGTAAATTAAATCAAAACGTTTTCTGGTCTTATTAGTATCCAATGTTATTTTTCTTTCTTGAAGGACAAAACATCAAATAACTCCATGGAAGCTATAATATGTAGTATATATAGTATTATAATATAATTGTTTGTCCATCATAATAACTCGTGCAAAATGGGTCTTGGTTGAATCTGGCTTTACTTGAGTAGTGGTTAGTGCATTTGCTATGAGATCAGGTGAGTGACCATTAAGTTGGTCCTAAAGTTCACAGTAAAAATGTAAACTCTATAAATTCTTTAAATATCTTTCATCAGAATATCAGGGGACTAAGAAACAAAACCGATGAATTAAAATGTTCTTTTGAAATGGCATAAATCCACATATATTGTGTCTAAGTGAACATCACATGGTAGAACAGGATTTGCTGCTCCTCACATTAGATGGTTACTCATTAGGTTCCAGTTTCTGCAGACAAAACCTACATAGGGGAGGCGGATCAATGTTTCAACAAAATTGATATTTCACAACACTGTAAGGAACAGGATTTAGAAATTTGTACAATTCAGCTAGAAACTAAAACATCTAACTTAGTAATATTAAGCCTGTACAGAGCTCCTTCAGGTGATTTTCAACAATATCTAAGGGGATTAGATGCTACCTTAAAGTACCGGGTCTACAATTTATGAGGCTGTGATCGTGCTTGCATTGCGTGGTCGGCCGGCGCCCCGTTGATGTGGGCGGGAGTTGTGCCCGTTCTTCCGGTGGGTGACCGGCGAATCAGTTTCAGTGCCGCTAGTAACAGCAACTAAATTTTAAGGACTGCGTGGGCTGCTTATTACAGCCATAAACATTAGCATTTAATAAACGTTTAGTTACTTTAGTTTTTAATTTAATAGGTATATACCGAAAGAACTGCAAGAAATACTTGCGAGTGAGTAATGAAAAAGGTGTTAGTTAGAAGATTCATGAAATCCCAAACAACGAGTTTCTCAACTTTTGGTAATGTACTTTTTTTTAATTTCTTCAGTAGGTTCTAATCTTAGAATGATTATAAATCTTTTCACTGTGTTAGTAACTACGAATTTGTTTGAGAAAACATGGACTCTAGGTACACTTCTCCAGATAAGTAAGAGTAACGATTTTGGCGTGTTTGCTCTGCTATAATTTTCAGATTTTAAATTTGTAAATACTAACTTTTCTGTCTTATAAATATCAGTTATTGAAAAGGTTTAATATCTGGCCTCATCTCTAGGACATTTTGGATTGTTCCACAAATTTGTGTAAATGCCTTTAGTACAAAAGTTGATCACAATTATTAGTCCATTACTTTTCAAGTCATAAACCCACATTTGTAATCATTCACTATATATACAGGCATTTTCCCTGACCGCCTTAAAATATCAGTAGTAAGACCACTGTACAAGAAAGATGACAAAACTAGTATGACAAATTACAGGCCAATTTCACTATTAACTACTTTTTCTAAAGCATTTGAGAAGGTTATGTGCAATAGATTAAGTCATCATATGCATACTAACAACATATTGGTCCCGGGACAATTTGGCTTCAGGAAAGGTGTATCCACTGGAGATGCAGCCCTCAAGCTAACAGACAATGTGCTTAAATCTGTTAACCAAAAAATGCATATTGGAGGAATTATCTGTGATTTAGCAAAAGCTTTTGACTGTGTAAATCATGAAATTTTGTTGGATAAATGACATTTTTATGGCATTCAAGGAATATCAGCACAGTGGTTCAGATCCCATCTGACACATAGAAAACAAAATGTTAAAGTAAAATCACCTAAAAACAATCAGAATTTTTCCTCAAACTGGGGAACAATGAAACATGGAGTTCCACAAGGGTCAATTCTAGGGCCCTTGCTTTTTATAATATACATAAATGACCTTCCTCCAACAATAAAAATAAAAACAATAAATACTTTAACAGAATCCATAATATTTGCCGATGATACAAGTGTCATAATTTGTAATAAAAATTTTGATGATTTCTGTGCAACATCAAACATAGTTCTGTCTCATATGAGTAAATGGTTTACTGCTAACAAGCTGGCCCTAAATCTTGATAAAACAAACATAATGGAAGGTATATACAAGAGTCAGTAAATACAAAGTTCCTGGGTTTGCAAATTGATAACCACCTGAATTGGACAAATCATTTTAATAAACTAATACCTAAGTTAAGCAGAGCATGTTATGCAATTAGATCTATGTTGTATGTCAACAACACTGACACTCTCAGATCAGTATACTTTTCCTATTTTCACTCTTTAATGAAATATGGAATGATTTTTAAGGGAAATTCATCAAACATCAAAAAGATATTCACTTTACAAAAGAAAATTGTTAGATTAATGGGTGGTGTCAAACCTAGGAATTCATGTAGAAGTCTGTTTAAGAGATTAGAAATCTTAGCTCTTCCATGTGAATACATATT